ACAAAAAACACCAGATACAAAACGTCGTAAATCTACAACAGAGTTAAAAACACCATCACATGTAAGAAATCGGGTAAAAAGTCGTAAGTAGTTTATGTGAATACAGGAATTAAAATATAGTATTTATATATTTTAGAAATAGCAAAACTAGTAAAAGTCAATTCAGATTCTGATTTCTCTGCTGATGAGAGTGAATATGAACCTTCAGATTGTGCATCATCTTCTGGCAGTGACAATGCAGATGACAGTTCGGATGATGCTGCTGATGACGAACCAAAAACACCACACAAAGGTCGACGCCCAATTGTTATTCCCTCTTTGACAAAAACCCCTTCTTTAGCACGTGCACGTCAGTCTGCGCGTGTCAAAAAAACAACAGAATATGTACCAGAAAGTGATGGTTACTTTCAATCGCGTTCAAGTAGCAAAATTGTAACATCCGATCATACACTTGATCGTTTAAAAAATCCTCGATTACCTGCTGATCGTTTGTTTAGTCTACTGGCCTCAATGAAATTATCTACTGAACATGAAACATCCATAAATGCTATTATAGAAGAATATCGGTCATACTTTTCTAAGTGGATGTATATATTAAATGAAGGCTTCAATTTGTTGATTTATGGATTAGGTTCAAAACTACAATTGTTACAATCATTTCACCGCGATATATTAGCACAGCAAACAGTGTTAGTTATTAATGGATTTTTTCCAAGTCTAACACTTAAGGATATATTGGATAGCATAACCTGTCAAATACTCGATGCTGGTATTAGTTCATCCAATCCACATGAAGCTGTTGATATGATTGAGGAGGAATTTTCACTTATACCTGAAACACATTTGTATATTATAGTGCATAATTTAGATGGCATAATGTTGCGGAATAACAAGGTTCAAGCAATATTAGCACGTTTGGCTAAAGTAGAAAATATTCATTTAATAGCATCAATTGATCATATAAACACACCTTTGTGTAAGTTAAATTTAATGCAAGTAATAATTTTATATATATTAAATATTATATGTAATTTAGTATGGGATCAATCTAAATTAAGTAATTATAATTTTTCCTGGTGGGACTGCACAACAATGCTGCCATACACTAATGAAACAGCATTTGAAAATTCATTACTTATACAAAATTCTGGTGAATTAGCACTAGCTTCTTTGCGTAGTGTGTTCTCCTCCCTCACAACTAACTCTCGTGGCATTTATATGCTAATTGTGAAGCACCAACTACAAAACAAAAACAATCCAAACCACCAAGGTAGGCTATAAAATCTTTAAAACTTATTAATAAAGCCCTCTGTCAAACAAAACATTTTTATCTTTAGGTATCGCCTTTAAGGATTTATACTGGAGTTGCCGTGAAGCATTTTTAGTGAGTTCTGATTTAGCGTTACGTGCCCAACTTACTGAATTCTTAGATCATAAACTTATTAAAACCAAGCGCAGTGTAGATGGTGCAGAACTATTAAACATACCAATAGAGTCAACATTACTGCAACAATTTTCAGATGAACATGAAAAGAAATAATTATGCAAATTTTTCCATGTATTAATTTCAAAGGTAATCAAAAATTAATGTGCTCCTACAAATCATGTTTAAAAAAATATATGAATTACAGAAAATATTAGTTTTAGCTTCGCGTAGACTGCAACACTCAACACCCATAATTATGGTACAAATCAAATCTTTTGCAATTTTATTACATATTTTAATTACTACAAATTTACAAACATCATCAAATTCTATTTTTTTAACTGATGTCAAACGATGTAATCTTTCGAATAGCTCAGCATCAAATTTTGGTTTAATGATGCTTATCTTCAAACTTATAATTCTTAATATTGCATTTAAATAAAAAAAAGTATTATAAGTGCATTAAAGACTGTCGAAGAAAATAACTAAATTTATTTCTAAATTAATCCTTAATGAAACAAGAACATTTTTAAATTAAGTAATAAAGTGCGTTGCTACACTTAATTAACAAATACTCTCAATTACTCATTTGTTCCTACATTCACAGATCTGTATAAATTGACAGCATGGTACCTGTTTAATGAATTTAAAAAATAAATAAAAATACGGATATATTTGTTATATACGCATGAAGCCCATAAAGCTCAATTCCAATTAGATGACAATATAAATATAATTACATACTTTATGCAGGGACCGTAACAGTTATCATTAAAATTCTGATTTTAAAATAAAACTCAAAAAGTAATAATTAAATTTTCTTTATATTATATTAATCAAAAATAATTATTATCATGTGCTTTTTATTTTTTCAAGAATAGTCAAAAATAACTTTTATTTTTGAAAGCAAAATATAATTTAGTATTATTTTTTGAGTTCTATTTTAAAACGCTCATATATTAAAAGCATGCATAATATTAAGGAGAAAGTTGTTAGAATGATAACTATGTACTTTAATATGAGTTTAGACAACTGCTTTTGTTGCTGCGTTTTTTTTGAAATTTTTTTGAAATAACTTATTTTCGATCCCTGATTTTATGTAATAAATTAAGCTGCTATTAAAATTATCAAATTGATCAGAAAGCATCGAGTATTTTCTAACAAAATATGTATATAAAAACCTATTGTAGAAGTTACGTTGAAGCAGTTTTTATTTAAGTATTAAAAATTGTTATTCATTAGTTTAATTCAGGGGCTGTTCAATGTACGGCCCGTGGGCCACTTGCGCCCCGCGATCTACTACAATAACTACAATTAATTTTATATTGGTGTACTGGTAAAACTACATTATTTTATTTTTATGATATACCAAATAAATGACTTTAGTAAAATTTCTACTAAAGATTTTGTGAAATAAGTAAACTGCGTTTTAAAAAACATTTTTGTTTTATATATTTCACATATTTCTCGTGTGGGATAGAGAACGGTAGAGCTTCGGTACGACGGTTTGGGCTTAAATTTCAGTAAGATCTGGCTCTAAAACATATTTATAAAAATTTCTAATGGTCGCTAAACTGATTTTGGCAAAAAAGCCTTCTACTAAAATCTGCATAAAACAGCCACTAGAAACCAATAAATCTTTGAAACGATTACAGCTAGTCAGATTAACCTAATCTAATAATCTGTAATCATAGCATGATAAAACAATAATTTAAAACTATATTATCTGTTGTTATTCAATAAGATTTTTAAATTATCTTATAAAATTTTCAACCCTTATTACAGATAAGAGCACTGGAAGAGTTTTAAAATTCATTATATCATTATCACTACCATCATTTCCGGCATTATTAATTATTAAGCAGTTGGCTTACATTTCTAGTTGTTCCTAAAATGTTAAAAATTGTTAAAAATGGTTAGCAACTTAGAGTACAAAATGAACTTTAATTAAAAACAAAACTGTTTGATTTTTTATTTAAATTTATTGATTTTTAAAGTTCTCTACAAATTGTTTTATTTATTGTTATTATCACGTTCTCTTTTGTCTCTATAATTATAAATAATTTTTAAAAGTTTAGGGAAAGTGTTCAAAAAATTAATTCTGCAAAAATTAACAAAAATATTGTTCTTCAAACTTGAAAAATAATTTAATATTTGAAAATAATAATTTATTATTTTTCAATTTTCGCTTAATAATTATTTGATTTTTTTCTTTAATTCAGTATTTGTACATCCAAAGCTTAATAAATAGTTCATTTTAAAATTGATTACATGTATTTTAATTTTTTTTCATAATATTTAAAATATATAGAAAATCTTTAGATTTACATTCAAAACTTAAATAATACGCAAATTAAAAAATAATAGTTGATTTACACAAAAATTAAAACTTATTAACATACAAAAAATAACACGCGTTAGCTTACAAAAAAAATTTTCTTAATTTAAATTTTACGTTATATTTTTCTTAGTAACACACATATATATATGTATATATAATATATGTGCATATGTTTTTTGATTTCTTAAGTTTGTGGTTTGTTTTAGTTCAACTATTTTTTTACAACTTTTACTTGATGTTTACTTATATTAAGTGAAAAAAATTTACACTCAAAATGAATAGGTTAGAGATATTTAAAAATTAAATTTTCTACTTTAACTATGTTGACAGAAGTTATTAATATATACTTTTTTTTGCATCAAAAATATAGAATATAAATTTTTAACCATTTTATTTTTATTTGCTACAAACTTTTTGCTGATATATAAATTTGTTTAAAAAATAAAAATAAAAATAATAATAATAAGAGTAAACAGGCATTTAAGCAAACGTACTTGTAACACAAATGAAAATAAAATGTTATTTTAAATACTTTATTATGAATTTAATTGCATTGAACTTATATTTTATAATATGGCTTAAAACAACAAAAACAATAACAAAGAGTCTGCACTTTTAAATTAATTATGAGTTAAAATTTAACATTGGTAATATGCTTTACTTTAAGATCACGGGGTTTACTATAAAGAATAATATTAGTAAATATAAAACAAAGAAGTCAGTAATTCTAAAAATAATAATTGTTTCGCATTGTCATCTCCTAACATTATTAGAAATACATACGTTATAATACATAACTGATTTAGGATAGAATATAATATTAACTGAATTATTTTCATTTGATGTGTGTACCCTCTCTCTTCTCTTTGTCATAAAAATTGTTATTGTTGTGTTGCTCTCGATATTAATTGGCGTTCTATAAATATGTTAATTACAGTACTGTTATTAAATGTTTATAATTATTGTTGCTACATTTGTCACAATTGGGGTACGTAATAAATTTATCAACAAAGTTGTTCGGTCATTTCCATTCATTTGAAAGTTGGGTTTGTTGCGGCTTTTAAAATTCTTATTGTTTAATAAATTTATAAAAAATCTTCTTTTAATTATTTTGCAAAATTTTGAGAAGTACAGTTTCTTGTTACTAAACTTGTTATTACATTTTTTGTGGTGATAGTTATTATTACAATTATAAATATTAAAATAATTATGCATATTAATGTTGCTAATGTTTCAGCTCAATTTAACACGTTTTCTTGGTGGTCCAATTGGTGGGATTTGTTGCGTTGCGAGCGCTCGAAACGCCTCCGCAATTAAGTGCGAATGTGTTGTTATCATATTTTGCCAGCCGGCGGTTTCCATCACATCAGTGGCGTGACTAAAAATATGAAATGTAAAATTTAATAATAATCATTTGATTTCAAATCATATTTAAATGGTATGCCAATAAAAATAACCTTAACTTCATTTTTTCATAGTTTAAACAATATAAATATACTTTAACTATTATATTCATGTTTTTTTTTAAATAGATTTTTTTAATATTACGATTAGCTTAAACTTCCGTTTTAAATCTAAAAAACTCATGTTTAAGTTCTTAATCATGGAAGTTTTACTTAAACATAACTTTATAGCTAAAATACAATATATTTACAATGATATTTACACAAGTCAATTGCTGTTCATAGGCAACATCATAACATAAAATGAGCTTGTCGTTTATTTTATATCACTTTTAATATTTGTATCGACTATAACCGTCTCCTATAACCTAAAGAAAATTTTTATTTTCATTTCAAAACAATAAATATGAACACTTAAAAATACTTATAATATAATTGGGTATACATATGGAGACAGGATCATATTTCTTAAAAATTCTAACTGCTACCTGGGTATCGTCCCAACGTTGTAGCAATCGCGATCACATTTTCAATAATTTATTTTTTAACTCTTGCTACACACAATTAGCCCATTTTTGTCAATATCATTTACTCCACAATATCTCTACTCCGATATTCTCGGTTTATTATATTTATTTTTTTTGATTTAGGATATGTCGTTTTTATATGTATTTTTCTATTATAATTAAATAAGGGTCACTAAATGTTCAGGTTATAAAGAATTAAGTTACATATACAAACAGTATATCGATCTAATAGTTATTCATTTTATATTAATAATTAATAAATACTAAAAGGAAAGATATTTGCTTTATTAATATATAATTAAGTCCCAAGTAATTGATACGCTTGCCAAATGAATTAATAGTCTTTTTATTTTAGTTGATTTAAATGAATTTCTAGAATATATGTATAATATTAATTTACAAAATTATAAAAGAATTAATAAATACTTATTAAATACTTTTATATATACTTTTTTAAAAAAATAAAAACATTTTGATTAAGCTAAATTCAATAATTCAACAATAACGCAACATCTACACTGGTTAGACTGTGGCAAAATTTTTACGTTCGAATGCAAATATTTTTATATATGCCACGTAAAATTGATTGTTTGGCAAAGTATAGCCATTGCAGATGCTGGACAAATTGAATGAGAACTCAAATATTTATACAAATAAATTATTATTATATTACATCGATTAAAACTATACGTCCTTGAATACATAATTTTTAGCTTCTACTTAAATTAACTCAAATAAAAATTGCCATTGATATTGTGTAGTTCAAACTAATAACAAAACTTTAAATTTTGTGTAATAATAATTCCTTATTGAATCTTGATTAAGAGCACATAATCTACCAATATTTGGAAGTGGATAGTTGTTAATTGGTGGATTGGCGGTTTGACCTGAGACAGATGTGTATTAGTTTTTAGTAATATTCACATTAGTTAATATGCAAAGTAATAATAATTATTGTGCCTTTATGTATATATTTATATAGTTGCTGTTGACTTTCCATATTGATATTTTTGTTATTTTAACTTACGTATTTATGAAATCTATAGTTTGTGCTTTCAGTTGATCCGCACTATGGAGATCGGCTAATATTAGTGTGTCAGCAGCTGTTTCAACGGATAAATTAACGCACAGCGCCTCTTCGCACATCACTTTCAGTTTTTCAAGTGCGTACTTTAAAAAATAAAACAATTATTTTATAAACTTATATCGCGCATATATATTCAAGTATTAAAACTCTTAACCTACCTTGTCAGCAGCTGCTAAGAGATCATCAGCCATTTTATCTAAATTTGGCGCCTTGCCAGTATATATAAAACGTAACATTTCCTTTAAAACTTCATGCTCAACATCTGTTATGGCGACACGATTCAATTTTCTTTCTTCCATTTCATGTTCGAACATGGCAGCAAATACTTCGCTACGAGCTAAAAATATTTTTTTACAATTATTATTATTATAATAAATAAACTTTTTGATTACAATTATCACTAACCTGCTAATATTGCTTTATGTGCTTGAAATTCGCGACCGCCAACAGCTAACGTAACATCACTAAATTTTTCATTATCGAAAAGATTGCCTAAGTCTTCGGATAATTTACATTCGGGCACTTTAAATTGAACAATATTAGATTGGCCAGATATATTCACACTATCAGCTACAACGCTAACTTCGCAAAATATTGTTAGTTTATCTTCCGGTAATAGGCCATTTGCTTCATCTAAAAGAAAATCTCGCCGAATGAATTTTTTAAAGCCCCAATCTTTGCCTTGCACAAACCGGTATGCCCTTAAATATAAAAAAAAAATATTTTTAAATGACAATTGCATAAACTAATAAAAATATGTATTTTTATAATAATATTACTTAATACACAAACACACAGATAGATTAATTGGAGTTGCTATTTGGTTATAAGTATTAAATTCGTTATAATTAGATTTCAGTATTTCAAAGCACTATTAGTATAGTTAATCAATCTTTTCCAATCAGGATCATTTTCCCCATTAAACACACTGATTACATCCTCTTCCATTAAAGATTCTCTTTAGGACAACGGCCAAAGAAGTGCTGTATGCTTTCCCTTTCTTTGAGGTTGCACAGTGTACAGTTTCTATTGTATTTGCCTTCTAAATAAATTAAATCGCATCTCGCCTTAAAATTCCACATTATGCGCACACGACTGAAGTACTGAGTCCCTAAGAATTATTACTATTTCTCAATGCAACAACTGTGTTAGCTTTATAGTATATGTTAAAACTTCTAAATACAAGAAAGGCGTTATAGTATATGTTTAAAGTGATAAATACCGGAAAGGATCGAAAAACTGATGCTAGAGCCGAAATTTAATTCAATTTCTTAGTAAAAGGAATGGTTATCTCTCTTCGGCAGCACGCAAACGGATTTGGAGGTGCGAAACTCACGTTCAAACAGAATCAATGCGATAGGTACCACTGTAACCACATGGCCTAATGTTCCCCTGGGAACGTACTGGATTGATTGATTGATCGCGCGGTTATAAGAGAAAAATTATATTTAATAGTAACATTAATCAGTAAAAACTGAATCTAATCGTTTTCAGGATATGTATAATTAATTTTGATAATAATAAATAGTCAATTTATTATTTTGCAAAAAATTATATAATTTTATTTAAAATCTTAATGGACAATAACAATATGTTGTGTGTCAAGTATCGCCTTTCAGAATATGTATGGAATGATAAATACCATAAACAATATATAAAAAATTTGACCTACAATAAAAGTACTTAAAGATCGAGAAAGTTTAGATATTAGGAAACGCAACCAACTAAATATCATTTAATATTATATCTCTTCTTATAATATTTGTCATATGTGTATTTGTTTTATGTTGAAAATATAATAGAAAGTTGGAATTAGGTCTTTATTTAAATTTGATATACAGTAGTCGTCCAATTTAACGAAAGGTTTCCTTGAAACTTTAATTCGTTTGTTTCTTCTAATGTTCTGATGTTTTGTATTGATTTTTTGTAAGTTTCTTATTGTAAGTCTGGTAAACTCATGAGTTTGGTTTAATGTATACTATATACATTAGTCCATTGTGCAGAAACTTCTGGTCTGGTTCACAGCATTTATGTGGGGTTGTTATTTCAACGATAGTTCAGATTTTATATTAGTTTTTTCCTACAGTATTCGTTAAACCTATGACTACTTTATATAATGAATTATACATTCGTTATATTGGAATATTCAATGATATAATTTTATTATTTGTTAAATTGGACATTTCTTAAATTGGATATTTGTTATATTAGACGAATACTGTATGAATCAGAAATACTAATCTAAATTTTCATGTGAATAATTATGAATATAAAATTTTATTAATTATTAATTTTTACCTCTGCGATTCCATAGCTTTCGTTTCCTCTCTCTTAGCATTTAATATCGAGAATTTAAATTTGGCTCTAACTTCTGATTTGTTACAAGATACTAATAATAAATATAAAGATAGGTAATCCTTGCTTTCTTCATCCAAACCTTTGGGATTTACACGTAAACACCTTAAAATATTAAAAATATATTGTAAAATATAAATATATGAAAGGATATTTTTCTTTAACTTACCATTTCAACTTGTCATTAGCACCGGCAGAAAAAGTAGATGACTTTAGTACCTCACCCATTTCTTCGCGACAAAAACTAAAGTTATTTATTGTCCACATGTAACTAAATTTTACAACTTTCACCTAAGAAAATAAAAAAAATTATTTTTATTAATAATTGAAATGTTTGTGATACTTCAGGAATATCTTTTGTTCACATATCCCAAAAATGCAACAACATTAAATAAAAATACAAGCAGGTGTAACATATTCTTTATACATAAATAAATAAAAAATAAATGAGAAATTCCTTAACAGGAAAAAATAAAGGTAAATTGAGTAAATGGAAGTACCATGGATAAAAAAAAATGATTTTCGGAAATTATTTTTGCATAGTAAATAAGTATGTATAGGTATATATATAATATTTTTTCTTACAATAGAACATAAGAAAGTAAGGAAGACAATAAGATATACAAGGAAAGTAATAAGAATGTAATTCAATATGTAACAGGAAATTGGTTTTAAAATTTCAATGTGAACGTTTTTTAGAAACAGTAATACTAGGTATTACTATTACTATAATTATGTTACTGTGTGGAGTTTTGCGGTCAGTACCAATGACACACATTCAACAATGCGTTTACAAAATCATATTTAAAAGAAATTTTTAAAAAAATTTAAATATTTTTAAAAATGAGAATATTATATTAAAATAATATTCTCATTTTTAAAAAACATTTTTCAACAATTAAAAATTAGTTTGGACTTACTTGTGTGTAACACCAGTTTTCAGCAACTGGTGTGTTAACTTCTGGTAAAGGCGGTGATGGTACGCGACTAACCGCCATTGTGCTGCTGGATGCGTTCAGGTTAGACGTTACTCTAGCAGTTTGGCTCGCCTGACATTCGTTTACCGGCAATCTGCACAAAAATAATTAAAATTATTTATTGATTTTTGTATTGTATTAATTGTAAAAATATTGTATATAAACAAAAAAAACAAGAAACAAATCGTTGGAATTTTGAAAATTTTAATATCCTTAACATTATCATTTATTTGCAAAAATTTTGTTTTTCTCTTTGATGTTATATATATATACCCCCCGTAAAATGTTTCATTCAATTACTTTAAAATAAAAATTACTTTCCTAGAGTTTAAGAAAAATCTTATTTTAAAACACATAATGCATAAATTCAAAAAGAAACTAGACTAAATCTACAATCTATAAGACGGATCAAGATATTCATTCAATAAAAATTTACAAACACAGGTCATAATAACAGCTATTCCTTAACTAAACATTGATATATGAGCACGTTTCAGGTAGTTCCATTTGTAGGTATGTCAAAAATATGATCCAACATATTTCCCCATAAGCATGTGTTAAATTTTTAATCGTATTCCGTAGATTAATCCTTTTTAGTGTAATCTATATCGAGGACAATTAGGTTATATTTTGTGTTATAATTAGGTACGGTCTTTGTGCGATTAAATAACTTTCATAAAGATTATAAACTTTCATGTTTCGCTTTTTCATATATTTGGTCCTAATTATATAGAATATCTCTTCTATATAAAACGCGTTTACAGAAAATGTGAGATGAAATGACAGGAATCTGCATGATCTATGTGTCTATATAAACAAATATGTTAAAGTTCGTTTATTCAAAACTGCACATCTCTGAAACTTCTTTACTGATTGCTTTTAGAATCCGAATTCAAACTTATATTATATAGATATTACACCTTCGACAAGAAAAGACATTTTTAGAAAAACAGAGATTTTTCAAGGTTTCGATCGTAAAATTCAGTTTTCATAAAGTTTAAAGTCCTTTTTTAATATATTTAATTCTGGATTTTGTGAGACATTCTTTTTGAACTCAGCTGTGTCGTTTACTTTAGCCTTAATTTCCTACACACATATATTGCTTTATCTATCTGCTTTGCTTTGTTTTTATTTTACATATTTATTAAAATCAAATTCAGAAATTGTTTAAACTCTTCTTCACCTTCAACAGAATTTATGTCAGAAATATAAAACGCATTTGGATGGATGTATTTTGAATATTGCAATTCTCGAACCGATCACCATCGACAAAGCTCAGAACAGAACTCTAAAACTGAACAGTCTTAGCATCGAAGGACGAAATATTTTACATGAACAAATATATGTTGCATATTCTAGAGTTGTCGTCGTCTCAGAAAATATTGTATACCGACAAGTATCACATAAAACATATTATTAGAAGTGTATGCTTTCTCTTTTCCTGAGCCAAAGCAGTGCATTTTACAGCTAGTTACTATAATATATTAAATTTCTCAAGATATATGAAACAAACATTTAGAAAGAGACATCGAGAATAACATAAATATATTTTTATATTATATTTACAAAAGATAAATCTTGATGACTTTATCATGTAGAACCTATGCAAGACAATTACTGAAAATGAACTCATATCCATCAATAATAGATACATAAATTGAATTTTAGCTTAATACATATAGGTCAGGATATAAGAGCTTTGTCATATAAAAGATGACTTTAGTGCTTGTTTTCAATTCAGAACTGAACTTCTTTATCTACCCGTTTTTTTGTGTTGTTTTCTAACATTTGTTTATTTATTTATTTTTTTGTCTAAACAAAACAACATGTAAACTTTTAATTTTACTTATTGTATATGAAAACAATTTCTTTTTAAATTTAAATCACGAATTATTAAATTAACAAGCACGTAGTTTTTTTCTATATTGCACCAGAACTTTACAAGCTCAGAAGAAGGTACACACATTTATTCTTGTAAATATATAATTAAATACACTTTCACAAATAGACTTACACTGGATCGTAAAGTAAATCCATTATGCTCCGATCAAACTCAATTTGAATCAATTTAAGATCAGTATTCGAAAACTCCGACATTATATTCAATAATTTTGAAAGCAATGAGTTTTCCAGTTTGATAATTTACGAATTTACGAATTTACGAATTTAATATTAAGTGAATGTTTAAATTTTTTTTAATTATAAAAAATCTTCGAAGAAAGAAAAATGTTTATTACACATTAATCATATATATTATAATGATAATAATAAAACGCACTATATGTACAAATGACTAAATGTGCAAATCTGTTTTAAACATTTTATCTTTTTTTTGAGAATATCTGATAGTTACTATCATTAACACTATTACAATTATAAATTTTTGGTCTATAGTATACAACTAGCCAGAGACAACTGCGGGGATAAATCTATCTTACAAAGTAAGGATCTGCTCAAGGATGTGAGAAATGTCGTTACTATAAAATATAATTAAAAAAGGTGAGTAAGAGAGGAAAGCAGATGCATATTTGGATGTAAATGTGTCGTTTTTGCTGGGTTTTTATAAATAACAATAAGATACAAAGAACAAAAACAACAAAGGAGATATATTTTTTGTTTTACAATATACAACAAAAAAATCTGTAAAAGTTGTACAAAGACAAGGTAAATCAAGGCAACAAAATCGTGTGTTCAAGGTGTCAGTTATGTGTAAATGGTTGTCGTTGCAGTTTTTGTTGTTGTCGTCGCCGTTGTTGTGATTGCTACGGTTAGTGCACATCAGTTTCTCTGGGTATATTGTGAAGTCCTTCGTCAATTTGAACACTGCTGATTGCGTGGTATGTGAATATTCCAGTATTTAATGGGGAAAGATTCGTCAAGGTGAACAAACTACTATGAGTTTTATTTGACAAAATGAGAAACGAAAGCATTTTTCGATTGAATGGGTACATATTTTTAATATATAACGCAGCAAAAGATTGTATATAAATGTTAAAACTCATATATTATAAGAGTAAATTTATAAATTGATGATTTTAAAAATTAAGACATCACAACTATTTAAAATTAATAAAAAGTAACAATTTAAAAGTTTAAATACGAAGCTCTTTTTATACGAGAAGCCTTTTAGATATTTTTTGTAACTATAATAATGGCAACTATGTGAATGATTATTCTCTTTATACACATTTATCTATGTACTTCAGTAAAATAGAACCAAGGACTATTCAATGTACAGACTCGTTATAACTCAATTTTGATTTTGTCAGCCTTATAATGCGGGAGGGGTTGGGGTGTTATATGGTGTTATAGCATTTGATAGTTAACGATTTAAAAGAAATGTATATAGCTTTCGAATCATTTTGTGCGTGTCAATTGCAGTAGTTGGTATTTTTGTGTACAAAGGTGCATGTAACAACAGAGAAATCAAAAATATATAAACGACATTTGAAAATATCATAACAATAAATGTCTACCGAAATAGTAAAAAACCTAATTTTATTTGGTTTGTTTTTAATGTATTTAATTTCATTCATTTTACAATTTTTTGTAAAAACCGAAATTCTGTTTTCAAGCTTAAATTTACCATATTTTATAAAAGTAAAAGGCACTTTTTTAATTTATACGTAATTGTTGTTTTTTAAATTTATAAATTTGAAATATGTTTTAGTGAACAAGTATATTTTATTAATTTAATAATACAATAATACAACTTGATGCAAAAAATGATGTAATGAGTAATGCGCCCAATTATTCTTTGGTTATATGCAGTTTTATGAAATTATAGCGAAGTTAAGATTACGCAAAACTTTAAATCCTTATAATTTTTTAACTAACTATTCAAAAATGACCACTAATCATGTTTTTCAAAGCTTAGGATTTGTTATTATGTGTCCGTAAAAAATTCAGAAATCAGTTTTTATTAACAGTAAAATTTTATAAATAAAAATGTGCAAAAAATCGGTCAAATCGGGATATCCAAAAAATGTGTCCGAGTTTTTCTACAGAATTTTTCCTACTAAATAGGAAATAGCCAAATGTTAAAGCTGCACAACAACAACAATTTGTCGTTTACACGCAATGTTTTATACATATTTCAGGTCTCAGAAACTAAAAAAAATCAAAATCGTAATGTTTTATTTCAATATATTTGTTAAACCTATTTCAAATTAATTAATTGTAAATTATTGTATAAAATTAAACTCAATTTCAATTCAATTAGTTGCAATGGAAAGAAATCTAAACAGATTATTGTTTAAGCGTAAAGCCATCATTGGATTTAGTAAATCAAAAAAAAAAAAATAAATAAAAAGATAACGGGTGTTGAAGTTGGTTGGAGGGAAAAATGTGGTTTTAATACAGGAAATGTTGGCATACAATATTTATGTGCTAATAGGGTTTTGTCAGATGAAACTAATTTGAAAAATACTTTAGAAATGGGTTCGAAAAATACACATTTAATCATTCTGTACCAACTTCGGAAAATACATACGATTGTCGGTAACTTTGCCAAATGTAATACTAGACAACATTCATATTTTAACAAGCATCACTTATTCTTTTCTTGTATTCTCCAAATATACAATAACAGTTAGAGTTAGAATCAAAATCAATATCACATTTGAAATCATTTGCTTATTATTGTCAGATATGCATTTATATTGCTTTTTTGGTTCAATTTTTGACAATAATGCCGCTTTGAAAATTTTAAAATTCAAATATTCAAATATTTTAGTTAATGGTCAGTAGTTATGATTTGAGACCTGATTACTATACTGTGATTACATTTCCCATTACTATAAATGTTGTGTACTTTTAATTGATGATCGTGAATACTACCCACGATACTAGCTTATGAGCTTTAAAAACAAAAAAAAACTCTTAGGGATAGCATAAAACAGTAAGCTCATTAGCTTTTTAATGATTAACAGTATCATCTTTTTAGATGAAAATCTACCGTATTGTCCACATCTGCCCTACTAATGGAACTATATTATTTTTTTTAATACTGTAAATGCATATCTAGGAACATAAGACTGTTGGGATGATATCTGACCTATTACTGGAATAATAGAGTTTTATTATATAAATTTT